AGATAAAAGCGATAAGTTCTTTTTTTGTCTTTTAAACCGTGTTGAGCGTAGAGGGAGCGTAAATGGAAGGACTTGCTAAGGTATTTAGCCAAGTAAGAAGAGATAGTTTTATGTCCGGGACTTCTAGACTCTACTCTTCCGTAAGGTCATAATTGGGAAATGTAGGCACGGCAGTTTCAACAAGAGGTAAAGTTCTTGTCGAGAGTGCATTTATGCGAGTAAGGAACGATCGGAGTAGAGAGTAAATGGAAGTGTCAAACTCCATTTTTTTGCAGTTCTGAAACTACCGTTCATTTTCAGTGGTCAGGTTTTCATAAACGACGAATCCGACGTAAAAAAAGGGCGAGATAGTAATTGGCAGGGTTATATTGGCTAACAGTGGAAGGGACTTTTTCAATTTTGACTTTTAAGGGTTCGGCCTGGGGGTCAAAATTAGTGGCTCAGTCTTTTAATCAGGAGTTTTTATTACTAATTGGCTCTCACACCGGATCTTCCGGATTCCAATTAGTAGTAAAAGCCGAATAATTATCGTGTTTAGTATTAAAAGTAAGGGTTAAAAATAACAGAGGTTGCTGAGCTTGAGTGCCTTCAAAGTTAGCTTCGACTTTGTCTTTGAAGCGAGTGTATAATTTTTTTTCTTTCGAGTTAAAAAAGGAAAAGTAAACACAATTTTGAGCATCTTGGAGACAGTCATCGGGTTTAGTTGGGGGAGTTGCTAACTCAACTGGTTTAGTTTTTTTAGGTTGGTCTAGATAAAAGGATTGTGCCGAGTTTTTAGATAAGGTAACACTAATTCGATTGGTCGATTCAATATGTTTACAAGAGACTGATAAAACTGTAAAGGAAGTGTGGTCTTGGACTAAAAATGATTTAAGGTCAGACTTGTTTACTTGTTTGATTTGAGCCAGGTCATTCAATAATTTTTGCGGAGAATTAAAACCGGTAGAGTTATGACCATTAAAAAAAATATATAACTATACTAACATGAAAATATACGACGAAAGCAAAATTAAACCAAATGACCCTTTACGGGAGCAAAAAATAGAAGCCTTAGCGAATATTGAAGAGTTAAATAAGGATTTGAAACGGGATAGCGGAGTTTGATACCTCCAAGATAAGGTAATCGAAAAATATATACCTATTATCATCCAAGAAGCATGTGGTAGCGAGGAAGATTTGATAGAAAAAATTATTAATGGTCAGAGTGAAGAAGAGATAAAAATCATTGAAGTTAAAATTAATGAAGCATTGAAGAGACATGGTTGGGAACTAAGTTGAAATTTAAATGATATATATCATAGTCATTTATTAACAAGTATAATGGTTATAGATTCTTATAAGAGGAAAGAGGAAGGGGATAAATTATTAGCAAGGTTAAAAAACGATTTGGTAAAATTTGATGAAGCAGTGCCGGAGATTTATCATGCTTATGATGATGGTGATTATTACTTTGTAAAAACTGCCATCAACATGATGAGGGATAGTTTATTAGTAAACATTAGAGATTGTGAAGCGAGGATAGAAAAAAGCCAAGGAGATTCGGAGCAACAAAAAAAAGATAAAAAAGCATCCCAAGAGGGGGAGAAAGTTCGAGATATTTTATGTTGACTGCAAACGTGTGAATTTAGTTGAAGTTCGCAGAGTAGTAGTGTGGTGGTGAATGGTAGTGTTTTCATGTTGAACAAAACGAAGCATTTTGGCTCAACTTTAACCATAGAAACCTTTCGAGAAGAATTAGAACGGGAAATTAATCAGGTAAATGATGAATGATTACCAGTCGGGCAAAAAAAAGCCGATTTATTAAAAAAATTAGAAACAGTTATTGAAAATGGAATTAGAGAGGTTAAGAACCAAAATGCTTCAACGGCTAATAGTAGCGATACCAGTGATGGTTATAGCGAAGTAAGTTCAGAAACTGATAATAGTTCGGTTGGTTCGGCTGACAACCATAATGATAATAAAAAACCATTTGATAGAAATAAACCCGAATTTGTTAAAAACAATAGAAAATGATTTATTGATGGTATAAATGAACTATTGAATCAAGAACCAATAGTTAAAGAAGCGGATTTAGATGAAAAAGATCGTAATTGACTAGAACGAATTAAGGCCGCCAGCAGTTCCGATGAAATCTATGACATTGGCATGGAGACCAAAATTGCTATTAGAATGAAAAGAAAAATTAAGCAAAAAAATGTTGACTTAGATGCTATTTTGGAAGAGACAGTGGATGCTAGGAATTTTACAAACCATTTCCAAACTGTCCAAAGGACTCTCGGAGAATCTGAACTTCAACTTAAAGCCGAAAGAATCAAAAAAAAATTACTGGAAAACGACCCCGAACTTTATTTTAACCACTTTAATGATTGAGTAAAGGGAGAAGAAGAAGCCTTGGAACTGGAAGCCAAAAATAAAGTCTTAGCCGCCGAATTAGAAACCATTTCCGAGTTAGAATATAATGAAGAAGAACAACAATTTTTAGCCGGACAGATTACTGACCAGCAAAAAAAAGAAGAAATCGCTCAGCGAATTGAAGTAAAGATCAATGTTAAGAAAAAAACTTGAAGTCTGATCAAATGGTTTAAAGCCCAAACCAAGTGAATAAAAACCAAGGCTAAATTGTTAAAGAAAAACAATAAGGTGGGATTCGAGAAGAAAGTGAAGCAAATTAAACAGGAAATCAAAAATGCGGAAAATAATTCTAATTTACATGTTCAACAAGCCTTTAAACATGCTAAAAATAAAGCTGAAGCCTTGTTAAGGGATTTAGAGAGTATTACCAGTGATAATTCTAATCCTGCTAAAAATAATAATTTTCCCACTAGTTGAGTGGTGGGAATTGGAGCAGCCTTGTTAACTACCATCCTAATTACAGTTTTAATTATCAAACGTAGCAAGAACCAGAAAAAGTTGTCTAGATAAAAGAACTTTATTGGAAAATGATGAATGAATAAAGGACTAAGAGACGAAAATCTTAGTTCTTTACTTTCATTATATAGTTCGGTGATGATGTCAATTTGTTTCCTGTTTCAAAATTATGCTTAAACAGTTATTTTCGGGAAACAAAAGGATTATCTTTAATATAGAACCTTCATAGTCGGTCTTTGTCATCTCCGGCATAGTCAATATTTACCCGTTTGGTGGCAATAATTTTTGCTTGGCTAATTTCTGGTTGATCTTCTAAATAAATTAAGTTGCTGGTAGTTAAATCAGTATGGTTGAGACTTATATCAATCTTCAAGGCTCGACATAATTTTCCCGGACCATTAGTGTAGTAGTGATATTTTTTCTTTGGGTCGCGTTGAGAACTAACTGGAATAGTGTGGTGGTCAAGTGGTTCAACAGCTCGAATTAATACTGCTTGCGGGTCTCCTTTGAGAGAAGAGGTGATATTGAAACAATAATACATGCCATAAATAAGGTAGACATAAGCACAACCTCCTCGGTTATACAAAGCCGCCGCTTTTCATTTTGACCTATTTTCTTGGTGAGCATGGCAGGCTCGATCAATGTTTCCATCATAGGCTTCGGTTTCTACAATTTTAACTTTGATAATTCGGTCATCAATTTTCCGCACTAGTATTTTACCTAATAGTTTTTGGGCTAAGTTTACTGTGTTGATGGTGAAGAAGTTAGGATCTAATATGCGATAAGTCATTTATATTTACTTGAATAAAATTTATGGTTGTTTAAAATTCATCATTATCCTTTTTTAATCTGTTTTATGTATTACCTTTTGGTTGTTTGTTTAATAATAACAGTATTCTTTCTGTAATTCTTCGTAATCTCCATGGTTTAAAACTTGTTCAGCATTAAGTACTTTAATAGTCAACCAAGCACCAGAAATTAACTTCGGTCGGTTGCAAACCAATATTTATTCAATCTTTTGCTTCGTGGGGGGAAAAACCAAGTTTCTTTCAAGTTACAATCAATTAAGGAGTAAAACCAAAATGAATACTTTTTCAACTTTCTAGATGGGTTTTTTGTTTAAAGAAATGATTATCCTCATAACTTTCCCTTAATTCTTCTATATTTCTATTCTTCCATTTTCTCCGGCTCATAACCACATGATAACAAATAAAAAGCGAAACCAGCATCATCAGGAAATAAACTTCCCTTCTCAATTCAGGCTTGAACTGCTTCTCGTTTAAAGTTTAAATCTTCCCATTCTTTTTGTAATTCCTTGGTAAATTCAGGATGAATATCGGTTCAGTTAGGCATATTATACTATTTTTGTATTTTTAATACTTATATAAAAGTTTATTTCCTAGAATTGATATTTGCTTGGCTTTCTTTGAATCCGTTATTAATGACTGATTATTCAGTTTGTTTCTTTTTTGTTTAACACTAAAAAACTAATATATATGTCCGAAGACGAAAAGAAATTATCTAATATTCGCAATATTGGCATCATGGCTCACATTGATGCTGGTAAAACTACTACTACCGAACGAATACTTTACCATTGTAAAAAAATCTGAAAAATAGGTGAAGTTCATGACAAGGAGGGAAAGGGGGCTACCATGGATTACATGGAACAAGAAAAGGAGAGAGGAATCACCATCCAATCGGCCGCTACTACTGTTTATTGAAAAGAGTACCAAATAAATATTATTGATACCCCTGGACACGTTGACTTTACTGCCGAAGTGGAAAGATCCTTGCGAGTTTTGGATGGCGGAATAGTCGTAATGGATGGCAAAAAAGGAGTGGAGGCTCAAACTGAAACGGTTTGACGTCAAGCTAAAAAATATAATGTTCCTCGGATTATTTTCATTAATAAAATGGATGGAGTAGAAAATGAGGAAAAATTTGCCGATAACTTAAAAAGTATTCGGGAGAAACTGGGAGTTGAACCACTGCCGGTTCAGTTTCCGATTGGTGCTGGTCGAGAATTAAAAGGAATAGTAGATATAATTGAGCAAAAAGCTTATTATTATTCTCAATTAGGTAATAAGGAAAAAGCCAAGGAAGAGGAGTATCAAATAAAAGGAATTCCTTCCCAATTAGTAGCAAGAACTAAAAAATATCGACATGAATTAGTAGAAAAAATAGGAAAAGTAATTGAACAAAATGAGGAACTGCTTCTAAAACATTTGGAGGGACAAGAATTATCGGCTGAGGAGATCAAAAAATTGCTGCGTCAAGCCACTTTAACCGGTGAATATTTTCCAGTATTTTGTGGTTCGGCTTATAAACATGTAGGAGTGAAATTGCTTTTAGATGGAGTGATAAATTATTTACCTTCCCCATTGGATGTAGGCGAAATACCTACTTTCTCGCTCCTAGACAGAACTAAAGTAGGCTCAGTTAACTGTAATAGTCCCCTACCTTATTTAGCTCTGGTTTTTAAAATTGTATTCGATGACCGCAATCAGAGAGTAACGTTTATTCGAGTTTATGCAGGAAAGATTTCAGCCGGCTCGCAAATCTATAATGTTAATCAAGGAAAAGAAGAAAGGGTAAGGAGCCTGGTTCGAATGCACGCTGACAATAAAGAAAAAATTGGCGAGGTAGGTGCGGGTGATATTGCAGCCATAATCGGTTTAGAATATGCTATTACCGGTGATACCTTTGGGGATAAAAAGAATTCTTTACTACTAGAGACCATTGATTTTGCTGAGCCAGTGATTTCCCAAGCCATTGAACCAAGAACTAACAAAGACAAGGATAAATTAAGAGATGCCTTAGAAAATTTAAAAATTCAAGACCCCAGTTTTAAATATCGAATGGATCGCGAGACTGGGCAAATGATTATTGCTGGGATGGGAGAACTTCATTTAGAAGTTTCGGTAGAAAGATTACGAAAAGAATATAAGTTAGATCTGGAAAGTAAACAGCAAAAAGTATCTTATCGGGAAACAATTACCAAAAAACTAGTAAATGTAGAAGCATGATACAAAAAAAAGACTGGCGGAAGAGGGCATGATGCTCGAATTTGAGTTACGCTTGAACCTAACGAAAAAGGTAAAGGTTTTGAATTTATAGATGCCAAAAAAGGTCAAGATATGTCGAATAAAGATGCAGAAGAAGTGAAAGAAGGATTACAGGAAGTTGTCTCTTCCGGTTTACTTTTAAATTATCCTCTATTGGATGTAAAAGCTACTTTATTAGGGGGTAAAAGACACGAAGTAGATACTCAACCAGGAGATTTCAAAAGTGCCGCAGTTTTAGCTTTCCGAGGTGATGGAGTAGCCGAAAAGGAAAAAAGGATTCAAGAATTAGGAGTAATTTTATTAGAACCAGTTATGCAAATAGAAGTAGTAGTTCCCAAAGATTATATGGGAGATATTTTGGCTGACCTTGGTTCACGTCGCACGGTAATTGAAAATACTGAGGAAAAAGAAGGAAGTGCTTATATCAGTGGCAAAACTCCATTAAAGGAAATTCTTAGTTATTCAACTACTTTGCGGCAATTGACTAAGGGTCGAGGAGAATATTCGATGCATTTATCCCGTTACCAAGAAGTTCCGAAAAGTATTTTAGAAGATATATTGAAAGAAGAAAAATTATAAAATATATTTAGTAAAGATTTTTAATAGATTAAAATTATAATATAAAACATAATTTATAAATATTTATATCGCGTGTGAACAGAAAAATTACTCAACAAGAATTTAAAAATTGAAGTGAAAAATTTGACCAACAACTGAAGCAATTTATTTATCAAAAAAATTTAAGCGGTGAAATAGACAAGCAAGAAACAGAGCAAATACTTAATTTAAAAGCTCTTTTAATTGCCCATATAAAAAACGAAAATCCCTTAGCAATGATGACTTGTTTAGATATTTTTGATACTCTTTGTTCTGATAAAACCAAGATCTATTCTGACACCGAGGGCTTAACTGCCAAACAATGAATAGAAAAATATCAATCAAGGTTAAAAGAGCATGCTGAAGCCGGTGGATATTATAAACCTAGTCAGCCGATTAATTTACCGGCTTTGATCGAGCGTTGAAAAAAATTATTAGATTTATTGGAAAACGAGGAGCAAAGAGTAAAAATGATTCAGTTCATGAGTAATGAGGATTATTCTCTCATTGACACCACTGCTCATTTTTATGAAGAAGTAAAAAAACTAGTAGGTGAAGAAAAAGGCAGTCATAAAAAGAAGAAAGAGATTCCGCTAGTAAATGAATATCCTTTCCTAATTGAGGATTTATGTGGTCGAGTTGAAGCGGCTCAAAAAAAATTAGAGCAGTTCGAACAAAATAATAACGATAATAATGGTAGAGAGAGAGAGAGAGAGAGAGAGAGAGAGAGAGAGAGAGAATTCTCGCCGTCCCACTATCCCTAACTCCCACGAGCAGAATGACCGCCGGGTAAAGGATTTAGAACAACAAAAACAAGTATTACAAATTAAAAACCAGGAATTAGAACAGCAATTAGCCAATCAATCATTAAGCGAAGCCGAAAAACAACTTAAAAAACAAGAGTTAGCCGTTAATCGTAAATTATTGGCAGAAAAAGAGCAGGAACTAGCCAAATTACGGAAACAAAAACCAACAAATCCTACTAATACCGAAACCGGTAATAATAAACTAAATTGAGCCATTGGCTTGGGAATTGCTGCTCTGGTGGTTGGTTTGTTATGTTTTCTTGTTTTATTGAGAAAGAGAAAGGATTAAGTGTCATTTCTCACTAAATAATGCTTGTCCATTTCATCCAAAAAAGGTGAATATAACTCTTGACTGCTAACGAGGTAGAGAATTTTTTTAGCCCGAGTTATCCCCACATAAAATAGTCTTTTTTCCTCCGTGAGATCTTGGGTGTCTTTGTAAGGCAAAGTTCCTTGATCTAAATAAACAAAAAATACTACCTCAAATTCTAACCCTTTGGCTTGGTGGATCGAAGAAAGGATTAGGTTATTCCGAGTTTTGATTAGTTTCTTGTCTTCAAAAGCGATAACAATTCATTGCAAGAAAGAATTAAGCAACTCGTTTAAATTAGGATACACCTTTTTGCGTTTAATTTCTCAATTTTGAGCGATATTAAGGAATTGTTGGACATTTTTTTCTCTTTCTGAGGCATTAATGCGGGTTTTCAAGTGTTTCCAATAGTCAAAATCATTAAGCACTCCTAAAAGAAAATTACTGAGAGAAACTTTTTGTTCCAATTTTTCCCGCCATTGATTAATTTTCAGAATTGCAGTGCTAATTTTTTCAATTTGTCCGGCGACAAACTTTTCTCCGCTTAAATTAGTAATCGTAGCGAAATTGTTAAGGTATTCGTAAATACTAACCCGCTCCCTTTCACTATTTTGCTCAATTTTTTCAATGGTGCGAGTTCCAACTTTTTCTTGAAAACCTAAGATCCTTAGTAAAGAAATATTATCGAGATAAATAATGGTTCGTAGAAAGGATAAAACATCCTTAATTTCTTCCCGTTCAATGAATTTAAAAGAACCTAATATTTCATAGGGGATTCTTTGAGCCACTAATTCTTGTTCAAGCCGGGTAGAAAGATAATTATTGCGGTAGAGAATAGCAATGTCATTAAATTGAAGTTTTTCTTGAATCAGTATGCGGCGGAGTTGATAAACCAAGTAACGAATTGATTTCCTGGTTAAGAAATTAACTTTTACTCCCTCCGGTTTAGAAGTATTGAGTATATTATTGACCAAAATAGACTGATTTTTCGCTACAAAAGAATTAGATAAATTGAGTATATTGCTGGTGGAGCGATAGTTAATATTAAGATAAATAGTCTTTCATTCTTGGTCTTTGGTGAAAGAGGAAATTAATTCTGGTGTAGCTCCTTGGAAGCCGTAAATGGCTTGATTAGGATCACCCACTAAAAAAACGTTTTGCTGTTTACTTAAAATCAGGTTAATTACTTCCCATTGAATACTATTAATGTCTTGGAATTCATCTAAGAGAATATGAGTAAATTGTTTCTGGTATTCTTGGCGAACCTGAGAATGGTAATTAAAAAGTTCAATTGTATAAAGTAGTAAATCATTGAAATCTAGTGCTTTATTGGTTTTTAAGTATTCTTCATATTTTTGATATATTTCATACCTAGTTTTAGTTAATTCATCAAATTGGAGTGGGTCAGTATCCAATTTACCATTTTTTCAACCGCTAATGTAAGCCAAGATAGTATTTATTTCTTTTTTCTCGGCACTGTGATTATTCTGGTAGAGTATTTTGCGAATTATAGTTTCTTGCTCATGACGGTCATAGACTGGAAATTTGCTGTCTGGAAAACCTAGCAGGTGAGAATATTTGTTAAGCACCTGAAAACAAAAAGAGTGAAAGTTATAAATGTGTAAATCTTTGGGGGAGACTGTCGTAATATGAGAAAAAACTCGTTTTTTTATTTCTTTAATGGCTTTTTTAGCAAAGGTTAAAACTAGTATATTTTGGGGTTGGGCTTTTTGGCTGGCTAATAAATAAATGAGTCGACTGACCAGAGTTTTAGTTTTACCACAGCCAGGTCCGGCAATCACGCATATCCGAGAGTGTTCTTCATAGACCGCTTTTTTTTGACTTTCGTTTAATTCTTGAAGAAATTCCATCTTTAATTTAATTTTTAACTTGCGCCTGCTTTTTTATCCTTTTTATCTTTGTAAAAATTCTTGAATAACAATCCTTTATGATGTTTGCTAAGCTTGTTTGTAATTGCAAGTTTCGGTGTTTGCTTTTTTATGTTGCTGCTGTTTCAAGATGCAGAATTTGGTCAGCAATCTTTTTTATAAAATAACGATCGTGGGACACGGCGACAACCAAGCCAGGAAATGATAAAAGTTGACTTTCGATTTGTTCGAGACTCATTAAATCTAAATGATTAGTAGGCTCATCGAGCAGCAAAATATTTGCCCCTTCCGCAATCATTTGTGCTAATTGAGCTTTGTGCCGACAACCAATACTTAAATCTTTTAGCGGACTAAAGAAGTCATGTTCATAGAAAAGACCGAACCGTTTTAAATGGCCAATTATCGCTCCTTGCGTCGAGAAAAGTTTACTATTACCTTGTGATATAAGTTCAATAGGCGTTTTTTCCAGATCGAGATATTTTTGTTCTTGGTCTAAAAATCCCATCACGGCATTTTTTGATAAACTGATTGAGCCAGCATCTGGTTCACGCAAACCATAAATAATTTCCAATAAGGTAGTTTTGCCCGCACCATTTTTTCCCGTGATGACTAGATGATCCAAGGAATCAAGATTAAAATTTATCCCAGTAAATAAAGGGTGTTTTGTTAGATTAGTTGCAGATAAATTAACACTAGTTTTTATTTTTTCATTAAAGACAATGCGAGGTATTTTGCGGACTTGAGAAACATCAATCATACTTTCTTTAAGTCGCTTAATTTTCTTTCTAACTTGTAATGAAGCGGTTGAACCAAGGGTATCCTGTTTTTTTCTAAGGGTAGTTATATTTTTTTCTTGTTTTTCTAATAATGCTTGCGAACGTTCCTGATTTTGTTTTTGCTGTTCTAAGTAAAATTTATATCCTCCGCGAAAACGTATGAGTTTATGGGTAAAAGGACATAATTCAACAATTTTACTCTCGGTATTGTTAATAAGAGCCCGGTCGTGAGTCACCATTATTGTTATGCCTTGATGTTGTCTAATAAAATTCTCAATCCAATCACATCCTTCATTATCAAGATGGTTGGTTGGTTCATCAAGCAATAAAATGTCTGTGTCGGCATGGACTAATCCACTCAAATGCACTTTAACTTTTTCCCCGCCGCTGAGTTCAAAAAAATCCCGCTCAAAATATTCTTTGGTAAAACCAAACTTAAAAAAAGTTTTTATCAGAGCATAACCGCCTAAACTATTAAACTCCTGAAATCAAGCATCTGAACGTTTTGCAAAAGGCGTTTGGGTAAGTTTTATCAATTGTGAATTTTGGGAAGCATAAATAAGGTGATCAAGAGTGGACTGATTTTTAAAATCTTCAAAAGATTGAGGAAGGTATCCAATTTTCCCGCACACCTTAATTTGTCCAAATTGGTCATAATCTTTACCAGCCAGTAAATTAATAAGGGTTGATTTACCTGAGCCATTGTCACCAACAATGGTAATTTTATCGCCATTTTGCAAGCAAAAGTTTAAATCATCAAAAAGAATTTTATGTCCGAAACTTAACGATAAATCTTTTATGTTAATTTGAATAGAGTAATTTGCAGTTGCTAACATATAAATATTAAAAGTTTTTATGAGAGGAAATGTAAAACAGAAAAAACTTCCTAAGAATCACAGAATTTAAAAAAAATTATCCTTCAAAAATATATAAAATTTTTTACTTTTTCTAACTAACATTTATAAGGGGGGGAAATTATATAATAAAAATAAATTAAGGAGGCAGGAAGTGAGGAAGATGATGAAAGAAAGAGATAAAATCGTCTCTCTCTCTCTCTCTCTCTCTCTCTCTTGTAAATATGTCAGGAAAAATAAATTTTATTATTCAGAGCGAAGCATGGAGGCATCCCGATACCCAAGGAGATAAAAATGTTTACGGAGTTAAAGAATTTTATTATAAGAAGGATGAGTTTAAAAAATTTAGATATATAAAAATTGGGAAACGAAAGGAACAGTATATCAAAGATAAAAATTTACGCGGTTCAAGTACTTGTATTCTTTCTATTCCCGAAGAACAAATACAAGTCGAACAATGAACAACTAAGTCCGGAAAAACTTATGACGCTCTTTCCTTTGGAGATGACGTTACGGTTGATAAACTAACAGGAAAGAATGGCAAAATTTTCTTTGGTTATAATTCAACTGAATATCTTACAAATGAAATTACTTTCAAAGAGGTAAACGTAATACAAAATATCGGAGAAGAGTATGTTTTTCCGATTATTGAGAAAATTGCAATTTCATTTTCAAATTCCGAAGAAGCAAAAAATAAATGAAAAGTGTTTAAGAGCAAAGGATATTGTGTTGTTGAAGGAATTGATTGGGAAAGAGCCGCGATTTACACTGAAAGTTTATGAATAAAATTTTTTAGCAGAATAGGGAAGGAATTCACCGAGGCAGGAGAAACCAACACACCAATTCCAGAAAATACCGCCGAAACACACACCACGGAAACAGAAGATACATCAGAACCGGAAGCAACTGGGACACCACCAAAACCAGAAACAACCGAGACGTCAGAACAAACACCAGAACCAAACACAACGCCTCCTCCTAAACCCATTAGTGTTTATGACTATTTCGAAAAAAAAATGGCAGATGAAGACCGAAATTTGTGAGCCTTAGTTAACCAGTATGTTCCTGGCAACAGCAAAGATGAAAAAAAGATGCTTTTCTTGTCATTAATAAGAAGTGGGCTTGTAAATGAAAACCATGTAGACAATAAACGGAAATTCATTAAATATGACTTTCTTAAAAGTAAACTGGAAGAAATTTATCCTCAAAATCAAGGTTCTCAAAATGGTAATCCTTCCAGTGGAGACAGGCTTGCTCAGACTAGAAAAAATGCTATTCAAACCATCACGGTTGCTCTAAATCTAGAACCTGCCGTAAAGGAAAGCGAGTTAAGTTCTGAATTTCATGGCTGAAATGAAAAAATAAATAACCTGAATCAGGAAGAAATTATTAATGACTTTGTAAAAAAAATGTTGTCGGCTATTGGGGGCAAACGAAGCGAAAAGCAGACCAACCAAAAAGTTAATGATAATGTAAATGATATGAAAAATAAAACCGGTGAGGAGTTAAATGAGAAAATAAAAGAAAATGATGAAGCATCTGATACCAAAGCCTACGGAGAAAAGAAAGAGGAAATTGAAACTCAAAAAAAACGGTCTGCTTCGGAAGACCCTAACAAATATCGTCGAAACGTTGCTATTCCAGGAATTAAGAACTTAATGGCAAAATACGATATTAAAGAAAATGAATTAGATGATGACGCAAAAAAGGACTGAGAAAAAATAAAAAATGGGGAAATTCAAGGCGAAGAAATAGTGGAAAAAGAAACCAAAATTAAACAATCCGTTGGCCAGCAAGGAGCCAAGAAAAAAGTTAAATTTTTTGAAAATGAAGTAGAAAAAGTCTTAAAATCAGGTCAAAAAGTAAGAATAGAAAAATTAAAAATGCAAATGATAGAGTTTATTAATTCTGATAATATTTTCTATGAAAGTAAAAAAACCGAGGTTCAGTTATTAATATCTAGGTTAGATAGTTATGGTAATAATCAGCAGAACAACCATTCGCCAAAATTTCCTTGAAAAGTGGTTGTTCCGGTTTTGTTGTTAGTAGTAATATTGATAATAACTGCTTTGGCAGTAATTAGAAAGAGAAAAAGAGTTAGAAGAAGTTATAATTAAAATTAGTTCTGAAACTTCAAAAGTTCCTAACTAGTTGAGTGGTTGAGAAATTTTTAGGTTAAAAAGGTTTTGCTAGTAACTACTTCTCAAGAAAGGAGTTTTTATTAGGCAATATTCCTTCATCTACTGAAATTAAAAAATAAAGTATTATGAATATAGAAAAGATCAACAATCAACCGCTGCCTAATAACCTTTCCTTTTCTCTCAAATGTCCGTGATGCCTAAAAATTATTACAGCCCAGAACTTTTCAGAAGAGCAACTAACAGTCACTTATCTCCAAAATTATTTTGCTAGTCAAGAAGAGCAATACAAAGGAAAGTTATTGGCAGAAATGCAAGAAATTATTGAAAATTTTCCCTTAGTTATCCAATTAAGAGAAGAAAATAACACTT